TATTTATCTTCGCGTGTTTCGTGTATAATCCATATGTATACTCCGTGTGTGTGTTTTCGCGTGGAGAGCACGAAATAATGTACCACGTGGATTATAATGATTATGAAATTCAACAAAATTTTAAATGAAATTCTGATTCTAATGTGTTCATTGTTTAAAAAAACAATGAATTTAATAATAATAATGATGAATGTGTTTACAGATTTACGTGATACTTGCTATGCCGTAATTACTATAATTATATTACAGAATTTTGATTCTTTTTAGTAAAACTTTATGGAGTAAGGATTTTCTTGTGTTTCTTTGTAAAATTTTCCTTGTAAAAAAATAATTTTTTATTATTGTTACATTTTTATTATCATCATTGTCCAAATATATTAAATTTTCATTTAACTAACTATGGAATTATTATTATTTATTATTTATTATTTATTATTATTATTTTGATTATTTTATTATTATTTTATTTTTATTAATAATTTGATTAAAGAGAAGGAAAGATAAAATTTTTAAAACGCGAAGATATATTATTTTAATTTTACCGAACCAATCAAGAATACTATACATAACTGTAATAACTACTATATGGTCCCCCTGCAATAATACCTGACAACCGAAAATTTATTTATTTGCTACTCTATATCATAAATATCATAAATATCATAAATATCATCTCTTTTCACATCGGTTATCCCAAAGTACCATCCAATTTAGATTGAATAAATACCAGGGGTAGGGTACACAATATTTTATTTAAAAATTACAAGGTATAAAAAGATTCTAGATAAAAGAATAAAGTTATAAATGTACGCTTTGGATGACAAGATGTGATTCATAATGTGTTATAGTAGTATATTATCTATTATGTATTATATGATGATGATATGAATGATATGATTATCATGTATATCATGATGTGTTGCATAATAGTTTATACTGTATATATAAGTACTGTAAATCGATAGGTCGATGAATTGCGTTGTGAGTGTAAATTGTGTTGTATGTTGTGTGTTATATGTGTATTAATAATAAGTGATATGTATGTTCGTTTTCTGAGCGATAATAATTTGTACCATAATAGATTAATCTTTTTTAAATTAATTTTTATTCGTTTTGAAAAAAAAAATTTTTTTTGTCTTTGTCTTTAATCTGAGCTTTGTTATTGATCCATCCTTCTTGACCAATAAATGATAACTATATAATGAAAACTCACACACTCACGCACACACTCACTCACTCAAGTACACAATAATACACAACAATAACAATTTTTCTTACTTAATATTATTCTTATCATAATTAATCATTCCAAATATTCAAAGATTCAAAGATCAAAGAATAAAGTAAGTTTAATACTTGTTCATTTCTTTATTAAAAAAAAAAAAAACTAGTATTTTAACAAGTATTTTAACTCGTCGCTTATTTTAAACAATTAGAAATTGTTGCATTACAATAAGAAAAAAAAAGCTTTGTCGCCGTTTTTAAATAGATCATCATCTTTATATAGAAAGTTCTTCCGAAGTCACAAACTTTCTTCCAAAATTAGATTATCAAACACGTTTAATATATAGTACTTCAACGAAACACAATACTAAATCTTTAACTTTGACAAAAAAGAATTGTCAATCTTTGATTCCATAAGAACGCAGGCATGACTACTGTTTATATAAACTGTATTAATTACTGCATGTTAAGTGTGTATATTAAAAATATTAATTATATTAATTATATATTGATTATACTTAATTATATTAAATAAATTAAAATAAAGTTATTTTTTGACAGGAAAATAGCCGGTGAGTAATAATTTTTGTATGTAATTTACCTTATTTTATATAACTTGTACTCCGCTGGTGCATTTAAGAATTATGAAATTCTACCGCGCGAAAATCGTTACATAAAACTTTAAAATAGCGCGCTATTTATTCATTTATTTATTCCATTCGAAGTGTTTTATTTGTGTATTCCATTCTGGTGTTCCATTTTGGTGTTTATGGGGTAAGAAAAAAAAATGTAGTTTCAATTTTTCTCCTAATTTTTTTTTTTCAGAAGGGAACACCATATAATCAAAATTAAAGTTCACAAGTCCTACTTAAGGTTATAATTAAATATTATTTAAGATTATTCAAGATTATAAAATTTACAAAATTTAAAAATGGTTACTAATGTAAGAGATTAGGAGTTAGCATGTGATGAAAACAATAAAGCACAAACTTTTAATGAATTGATTTTTTTTTTCTATTAAAAAAAAAGAAAAAACTTTTATCCAAATTGTTTATGCCTGTATATATACTTGAAATAAAAAAAGAAAGGAAAAAATTATATGCAAAGAAAATACTAAGTATATAACTAACTTGATTATTGCATATGATTGCATTCGTTAAACTAAATTAATTAAACTCAATGAAATTTATAGTTTTTTTTTACTATTTTCTTTTGTTCTTCCTTCCTATTTACGATTCTTTATAATTACCATTTCTTTACGAAAATAGATCTTGAATAACGATGTATGATTTTGAATTAGATGTCACGCGATTTCCTGTTCTAAAATAATTGTCACGCGATATACCAATCTGATTGATGTAAAAAAATGATGCAATTGATGTTATTTCAAATAATTTCTTGGCGGAAAAAAAAATATTTATTTAAATTTATGTGATAATAACAAATCAAACACTCTTTTGAGACATTTACGTTACGTTGAATAAAAATAATGACATATTATTATTTTAATCTATGAAAATATTAACCATTGATTCATTAAAAACCTAATCACAAAATTATTACCAATAAAATTGACACATACATTTTAAAAGTATTCAATTAAAAAGTATTCATTCATTTTAAAAAATATACGCTTTCTATAATTATAAATCATCTAAATAGAATTCTTTTCTCTGAGGTGATAAATTTAGATACACGCGATATTAACCTGTTATTTAATATATCAATATTTATACTATATTTTATACTATAAACAATATGTAATTGAAACAAGGCTAATAACATTCTATAACAGTAATAATACGTAAATATTTATCATTATTACTATAATAGATATTATTACTTTATTATTTCCTCTTTTTTAGTAATTGTTTTCCTTCTCTGGAACAAGGAGAAAATTTTATATATATCTAGATAAAAGTAATAAAGTAATTAATGTAAAAGCCGATAAATAAATAAAACAAATATAATAAAAATAAATAAATCTAATAAAATCTAAATCGTGAATAAAAAAAAAAATCAAGTTTTTTGTTATTATTCCCCCTAAAATCTTAACTCCTATTGAAAGTAACCAAAAGTATTCATAAAACATAAAATCAATAAAGTAACCAATTACTTTATTAAAGCTATATTAAACTTTGTTTTCTTTTTTTGAAAACTTTATTTTAAAACACTTATTTCACCTTATTACAAAAAAACTTTATTTTTTTTTTTAAACTTTGACATAAACTTTATCCCCTGTGAAATGATTGTGTGAAATGATTGTGTGAAATGATTGTGCGAGAATGATTGTGAGTAAAAATGATTGAGAGAGAAAAATTGTGATGATAAGTGTTCAACGCGCGCCACTAATGAATGAAATGAATGATAGAATGACACGTAAATTCTATTTTCTCTTGTTTACTTTAATTAGAAACATTTTAAAAATTACTATTATTATTTATTTATTTAATACAATTAATTCATTATTTTATTAATAATATTTTTCATATAGATAATAAATATTATTATTAATATTATTTACTCTTTAAATATTAATTATTTATTATATTGTTTTATTTTTATCCAAATACCATTGTTTAAAATTATAATTATTTTTTTTTTTTTTACGCGCTTTACTTTTTTAAAATTGATGGGGTGAATGCATAAAAATAAATATAATAAGATATAAAAATGCTTTTCATAAAGATAATAATAATTGATATTGGGAATAATGGGGAAGATCTTTCTTTACAATGATAAATTAATGGATAAAGAACGGTAAAATTTTTGAAAAGTTTAATGATGAATTACCTTTTATTATTGTATTTATTTTTTATCCCTTTTTTTTCTTTTCAATGTTAGTAATTGATAACGTGTGTGTACATGTGTTTATACAAATGTATTCCTTTTATGTCGAGATGAACGTTTCCCGCCTTTATTTTATCATCATCATCATCATCATCATCATCATCATCATTATTATTATTATTATTATTATTACTATTATTATTATTATTATTATTATTATTATTATTATTAGCAAATTTTTATTACAAAAAAAAATATGTTTGAAACTCTGACGAAACAAATGTGAAACACAATATTATTGTTAGTGTAACAAATCTTTTTTTTCCAAAGATTAAAAATGGAAAATTAGAATTAGCCACTTCTGTATGACGCTATCTGTAATCATCATTTTATTTCCATAAAAAATACATTTATATAATAAAATTAAAGGAACATAAAACTTTTTTTTTTAATTTCCTGATTTTTTCTTTTTTAATTTCTATAATCAACAATGAAATTCCTTTAACAATTATAATAAAAGTTTAAAAAATTAGGGGTTAACTGTAAAAAGGTGATATAAAAGAGTACCCAATTTGTTATGATTTATATTCTGATTACAAATATCAAAGATGGCAAAGTTAGTGTGGCTGATAAATTCCAAATCAGTAAATAATAACTTTACATCATACTTGGCAAAGGCAAAGGCAAAATGTTAACCTAATATGATATTAAAGAATTTGGATTTTTCTTTAAAAAAAAAAAAACTTTTAATATGTAGAAGAAAGGTTTCCTTTTTTTCTCTATATCAAGAAAGATCTCTTATTTGAAAAAAATTAAGAGTTTTTCTAACGTATTGCAAAAAACTTAATCTTACAAATAATTAATTTGAATAATAGTTTTTTGTTAATATCACAAAATCAAATAAAGTTATAATGCTTATTATATTGGTGAAATATATATGTTAGTAACTTTAATAATTCTATCTTTCATATCATCTTTTATTTCTTTTAGATCTGATGTTTTGATTCTGAATTATCATAGTGAAGAATAATTGCATTATAAACTTCCTTGGATTTCACAGATGAAGGGAAATAGTGACTTTCTCCTTGATCCCTTCGGAAATCAATAGAACTTTCAATAATCTTTTCTTGACCTTGCTGTTTTTAATTTTTATAATGTCATTAAAAAATAAAGTTATGCGAAAAATAGGAATATGATCTCCTTGTCTTGATATGCTTGACATGATGTTTCTTTTGATTGTACCGTCAGTTTTTAATATTGACATTCCTGCATTTTGCGGGGTTTGTGGTTCTGGTTTGACGATATTCCAACTTATAATTTTCCATCTTACTATCGTCTGATAAATTCGCCTGGCCATAATGAAAATGAAATTGATAATACTCCCATATTAGAGAAAACATCATCACATGATATAATAATAAAGTTTAAGAATTTAATTCCATCACATGATAAATTCTCGCTCAAGTTTTTTATTTGCTTTATTAATTTATTAAATTTTAAATAAGAAATTTTTTACAGATGCTTTTTCATTGTATATATTAATGTCTATTTATATGAATCCCGCTTACTGTAACCCAGCCCACAAAGATATAATTAATGAAATGATTAATGCAAATGAATTTATTTTTTCGCGTATTGATGTAGAACTGCTTGTAACACATGCACCTATTTAAAAAATTTTCAAAAAATTCTTTGATTAATATTGTTAATTAGAAATTTTTATTTTTTTTTAAAAAAAAAAAAAAAAAAAAAAATACTTACACATAGGTCCAAGAGTATTATTGCAAGATACTTTGAAATTTTTAAAAGCACATTGAATGTCTCTACAATTTCGTGCAAAAGATAAACAACTTTCAGTTGAATTTTCAGATGAAAATAATGATACTGGAACCATTTCCATTATTTCAGATGGCAATAAATTTAATGATGTATTAGTAGTTTTTCGTGTAGTAGGTTTTGAAGTAGTAGAGGATTTTGATTTTGAAGTGGTAGGTGTTAAAGTAGGTGTTAAAGCAGGTTTTGAAGTAGATGTTGAAGTAGATGTTGAAGTAGGTGTGGAAGTGGACGTTGGAGTAGAAGTGTTGGGATTAAAGTTAAAATCAGCTGCATTTCCTTGTTCTATTATGGCTGGTATTATTGTATCAGCTGGAGGAATGCTTTTTAGGTCCAGAGGAGGAAGACTAGAACTAACTGTGTTATTAATAGCGGAACCGCTAATCAAAATAGCAAGGATCACCGTTGAAATAACAGTAGAAATCAGGAATATAACCAAACGCCAAAATGCGAACATTTTCTTCTAAATTACTATTCTTTTATATATATGTAATTTACTTTTTGAATTTTTAAACGTCACAGACGCTTTTTTTTTCTATCTTGTATATGTGAATGTATTAATTGTAGCGTCAAATTTATCTGGATCTTATCGTAAAGAAATGTTGCCAAATATTTTGTAGTAAGGAATGTTTAAAATAAATTAAATTTTATTATAGCATAATTTTAAAAATAAATAAGGGAATATCGAGACAATTTTTTTTTTGTCTTGATCTAAAAAATTAAGGTGAATGAGGCATTATATATAATAGCGAAGAATAACTCTAACTTCATACATTATAAAATATATCCTTATTAGGAAATTATAACCGATGTTAATTTATATTAATTTCAAATAGGCAATTAGTAAATGAAACGAACAATGATTGGTAAAAGTTTTATTAACAATTTAAGATGGTCTGTACTACAGTTTCACGTGTTGAAATCAGGTTTAAGTATGGGCAAGGTTAAAGATAATATCCTTATTTTTGGGGGTTTAAAAGAAAATTTTAATGTATCAAAATTTATTAAAAAATTGAAACTTATCAGATCCGGTAACAACCTTATAAGATAATCCAAGAAAAGAGGGTTTAATGTGCTAAAATTTATTAAAAATTATTTTTTTTTTAATAATAAACTATACTTTAAGTCTAAATCCATAGTCATTTCCTCCTTGATTCTCAAAAATAGATCCCAACAATGATTGATCCTCTTCATCCAATTCACCAATTCCATGTGCGGCTTTAGGTGCTGAAGGACTAATGAAAGATTTACGCCTATAAAATAAAATAAAATAAAATTGGTTTTTATTTAAAGTTAAATCATTATACGATTAATAAGTCGTGTTCTTACCTTTCTCCACCTCCTTTTGAAGGCCACGTTGGAAACATTTCAGGATCTTTTGGTAATGGACTTTCTCTAAAAATTCAAATTTCAAGATTTATAAGTGTATTAAAAATATTTTCATCATCAAAAAAGCAAAATAAACGAATTGCTAACGTACGTGAAATAAGAATGCTTCAATGCTTCTTCAGCAGTAATTCGTTTTGCTGGATCATATGTTAACAATTTAGACATTAAATCAATACCATTCTCGGTTAAATACGGAAATCGACTACGAAGTGTATTATGTCTATACAGATATTAACATGGCAACATTATTGGTTAAACAACTTTTCATTCTTTTAACTCAATTAAGAATTATTATAATTTTTTTTGAATCAAATTACATTTGTTTAACAAATGGCATATTTTTGGTGTGAGGTAACTTGGAAAATCCTGGCCATATTTTTTCATTTGGCATGCCCAGTAATTTGAAGATCTAATAAAATTATTAAAATTTCATTATAATGACTAAATTTTATTTTTGGTGAATGGGAAAATAATAATACCTTGTCTAATTGGTCAAGTTCCGCGCGACCCGGTAGTAAAGGTTCTTTATTTACTAATTCAGCAAAAATGCAACCAACAGACCACATATCTACTGCAGTAGAATATTTTTTTGTGCCAAGCAATAATTCTGGTGCTCTTTACCAAAAATGAGATGATTTTTTGTTTTCAGTAAAATATTTCAATATATGAAAAATATATAAAATAATATTATTAATATTAATACTCACCGATACCATAATGTGACAACTAATTCGGTCATTGAACCTAATGGACTACCATACTTTCTTGCTAAACCAAAATCTGCAACTTTAATCTGACCTCGATTATTTAATAATAAATTGGAGGTTTTCAAATCACGATGTATAATCCAATTATCATGCAACATTGCTACAGCAGATAAAAGTTGAAGCATTATAGTTTTGACCTCTGATTGTAAGAAAGGACTTTGCATATCTTCCATTAGACTTTTAAGATCATGTTCAACAAAGTCCATAACAATAAAGATTCTATTAATAGGAAAGAAAGAAAGAAAGAAAGAAAAAAAAAAAACTAAATTAACTTGATCATCAAAAAACATTATTATTTGCATTCTTTAACTAAATAAAAATATTATTTTTCTTCAATCTAACAATCTAAACGTACTGTGTTAAAGAATCCCCAACTACAATTTCTCTAACATTCACAATATTGGGATGTTTAGCTAAGAGTAATGTATGAACTTCACGCAAAGATGTAATTGGAAATCCATTTTTTTCTTTATCTAACTTAAGTTTTTTTAATGCCACGATCTCACCTGTGGCTTTATCTCGAGCACGAAAAACTACCCCATAAGCACCCTCCTCGATCCTATTTAATTTTTCATAGTTATCAACACTACGACATCCTGCAAGTATAGGAGGTTTTGAAATTGGTGTAATTTTAATAATTTTTTCTACTGTTGTTTGTGGTGTTATTTCAGTGTTGGTTGGTGGAGAAGAAACTTCAACTATTTCATTCACAATTTCGGCATTAGGAGATCCTGAATTAATTGAAGAAGTCTTTGATTTTAATTCGTCATGGAATACTCTTATTCTTTTTATTCCATCTGTTACAACCTCTGAATGAGAAATTTGTTCGTCTCCTTCAGAGTCAATGCTTTGTTTCAATACTTTTCTAATGTTCCGTTTCTTTTTATTAACTCTTCTTTCATTTTCTGATTCTTTATCACTTTCAGATTCCCATTTTGACTTTTTTGTTTTTGTTCGTGAAGTAGGAGTGTCAGTCGTCTGTACTTCTGGTGTAGTGGTTTTCTCTATAGGATCTAAATCCATTTGATCTTTGGGAGAGACAATTTTATTTTCCATTATTAAATACTGTCTACCGATTAGATTATTTAAATACGATAATTCAAATAGGAATCTGTATAAATTTCTTTAATCATGGATCAAAGCTTTGATGGGGATTTGAATATGTAATTATGTAATTTTTTACGAGAATTGAGGAAAATTTTATTTATTTTCTAAGGGCATTTTTGTAATGTTAATAAAACAACTAATGAAATTACCCTCTGTTACACTAATTACTTTCCAATTATTTAATAGTTTAGAAAAATTATATAAATTAATTATAAAAATTAAGATAAAAAAAAATATTAGCAGGGTTTAGCCTGAATCATTATATCAAGCATCTTATTTTAAAGAAGGTAGGTGTCCAATAGGTACCTGATATGTAAGGTTGCCTGTTGAAACCTGTTTTGACAAGAGTAAAATAGTTTATCAAATAACTTTCAATTCTTCCAGTTAACAAACTTCTTGAGATTTTATTATATATGTATAATGGTAATTATAATATTAGATTGCATAACCAATAATGGAATCATTTCCTAGCAAATAAATATATCAATTTTTAAATTGCTATTCCTTCAAAAAAAGTAATAAACACCATTGGGTAATAAGCTTACATATGTCTTAATTAATTATATTATATATTAAAAATTGATTATGTCACTTTTTTAAATTATGATATGTATCATTAGATAAAGTAATAGCTAAATGATGTCTCTAATTATTTTTTCAAGTCCTTAATATTATGAATTTTTTAAATAGAATTGTAATACGAATTTGCAATTTCACAATTAATTGTGAACTTTTGTATAATAATATTTTCATTTTTAGAATCTCCATATTCCTAGCTTCAAAATACTATTTTTTTTGTCTCAATTGGATATCTCTACATTGTTAGTTTTATTTGTTATTTTATATTCTTTATTATTTACTTATTATTATTATATTATTATGGTTTTTTTTATTATTGTATTATTTTTATATTATATTTATCAAAAATTTTAAATCACACTAGTGATATTATACACTATATTATGTAATCATATAACCTTTATGTGATATTAAATAAACAAAACACATATTATTATATTATTATTTATATTATATATATTATTTAGTATATATTAGCATAAATCAGTTAGAAATTAGTATAACTAATATATATTATGACTCAGATCTTTAATATAATTGACAATATAATTTACAACATAATCAGTAATATAATTAAAAGTGTAATAGATAGTATAGTAAATAGCATAATAGATAGTATATACATTAACATAATTAACAGTATATACATTAGCATAGTCTATAGTGTAATCTATTATAATTTCAAATATATATATAAAAGACTAAATTCCTTTCCTCTCAGTCTTCAGTTTTTGTAAATTCTTCTTAGTTTTTTTAACTCACAATTAATAAACTTCTTTGTAATTTACAATAATTCTATATGAATTATTTTTTAGTCTTAATGATATCCTTAAATTCTTAGTGAATTTGTCTACTGTATAGTTTTTATGTGAAACTTTATTATAATTCTTTGTAAATTACCTTTGTCTTTGTAACTATATCAGAAAATTTTTGAAGGTGAATATATTCAGATATATTTATTCACTCATGCATTTATCTATATAAATTACATTAATTCACATTTATTCACATTAATTTACATTTATTCATATTAATTTATATATTATACTAAATATATCCACATATATTTACAAATATATCTGCATATATTCAGTTTTTATTAATTGTAAATATGTCTACATATATTTGTAAATAAAATTTTTCTAATATAGATTTGTTATAATTTTTGTCTTTGTAACTTGTTTTAATGAAATATCATCTTAATAACACAACCCTTTTATAAAAATCTCATTCTTTTGGCCTCTTTTGAGTAAATTTGTAATTACAAAATCTTTATATTTATACTTCCTTTATAGTATAATCCATCTAACAATAATATATTTAATATAGTTGTTTAATTTAGTTATACATATTTTTTCTACTTTTAGTAACTAGTTTATTGAATTCTTTTGAAGATGAATTTTGATTAACAATATAAAACAATAAATAAATATATCATATTATGTAATATTAATATACTATGTTTCAACATGTATAATGCAATTTTATTTCTCATATTTCTCCTTCTACTTTTTTAACTTTTTTTTATTATTTCTCTCATAATGAAATATTTCTTGAGATATTATTAGTATACATGTTCATTAAAATAGATTTAATTAAAGTATAATGACTAATGTAATTAATTATAACTGACATAATTATTTAACTATTATATTAATTTTGATTGTACAAATAGAATTAAAGTATTGAAACTGTACTTGTATACAAAATTATTTTTGAGATCCTGAAATTGTAATTTTGAAAAAAAAGTTAAAATAGTTTTTCATAAAAAATGAAATTATTTTATTTAAAATTCAAAATTTTTTAACTATTCAGATAAATTTCTTAATTAAAGATATATTTAACTAGATATTTTTTTTATTTCTATATATAAAATAGATTCTAAATAAATCTTAAAAAAATGAAATATCTCAAAAAATCAAAAATCAATTTTTGACTTATGTATAATTGAAATATAATATCTTAACAATTAAAAATCAATTTTATTATAAAGTATAATTATTAGAAGAAGTATATAAAATAAAGTTAGTTAATTAAAATAGTAATTATAACTTTAGCTTAATTAAAAATATTTTATCAAGAATTATATATTATAAGTATAAAATATTCAAATAATACATTAGAAAATTGTGTTTTAATATATTTTAAATATGAAATATTCAAATAATATATTAGAATGTTGTGTTCTAGTATATTATAAATATGAAATATTTAAATATAGTAGAACTTGTTTAAGTATATACTATATATAAGCATAACTTGTCTAAATGTATAAAATTCTTATATTACAAGTTAAGTAATATTATACCTGCTACCCAAATTCAAAATCCAAATGCCAAAATCCCAAATGCCAAAATTCCAAATCCCAAATCCCAAATTATGATTAGTATTTTTTGCCGAAATCCCAAATCCCAAATCCCAAATGATTTGGGATTTGGGCAACACGTATAAGTAATATTAGTTAAGAATATATATGCCATCCAAATTTCAAATTATTTTAAAATTTCGGTTATCAAAATTTAATTTTCATAATATTTAAGATTTGGGATTTGGGATTTGACATAATATGAGATTTGAGATTTCAACAATTAGTAATTTGAAATTTGGAATTTGAAATTTTGGATTTGAAATTTAGCATTTTGAATTTAGATGGTACCTATAGTTAAAAGCATATGTATAATATACATATATATAAATAAAATTCTGACCTATTATTGAATCAATAGATGTACACAAGCGTACACTGGTCGAAATAAGAAATATCAGACACCTATCGTATACCTATCAAGAATCTAATAGGTATATGATAGGTGTCTAATATTAACAATTATGTAATATATTGGGTATCCAATTGGTGAGGTCGAAATGCAAAAGTTCGAGTACTTATTGAGTCCATATTAATTTCATATTGGATATTAATATTTTAACATTTTATTCAAATTCATCATTCATATATCGAGCACCTGATTTTATTTATTTTTTTATCAGGTACATATCTTTTATAAATTGGCTATAGTATATCCCTATATATTGAGCACAGTATATCTCTATGTATTAGGTAGTTTTTTTTCCTCTATTGGATATCTATCAGTACCTTTTATTTATATATATATATATATTTTCACTTTTTTATTTGCAAATAATCATAATTTTAGTTTATTATAAAAAAAGATAATAAAATGAAATATATTTATTATGAAAAGTATAAAATGAAATATATTATATATGCTATATAAAATAATCTATCTAATTATTTTTTTGATTTTTTTTTAATTTTTTCTTTTTTTCTTTCTCCTTTCCTTTTTGTTTTCTTTTTTTATTACTAGTTTCTATTTCATGATCATTATTATTATCTTTCTGTTTTCTTTTTTTATTACTTGTTTCTACTTCATGATTATTATTGTCATCACTATTATTATTATCAGCATCTTGGTCAGTGATATCTGGGTCATAGATTGAAATGATTCTATTTTCACACTTTAATTTTCTAAGTGCTGTCATATTTAATATTCAAATTGAAGTATTTTTTGATATTTCTACTTTTGTTAATATATGTCGTGGAGATCTAATTTTGGTTTTTGGTACTTTTAGCAGTTTGTACACAATATCAATTGCTGTATTGATTCTTTTGTACAATAACTTTTTTAACTATAAAAAATATCATACCCAATAGATATAAAAATATTATTATCATTAATCTACTTATTGAATCTCTATAAGAAATACGCATGTTTAAAAAATACTTAAAATATTATTAAAATATTATTAAAATATTATTAAAATATACTTAAAATATATTTAAAATATATTTAATTATATTCATGATAATCTATTTAAAATATTATTATTTTATGATTAAAATATATTTAAAATATACTTAAAAAATACTTAATTTAGGTAATGAGT